CCATTACAATCTTTACCACACATCCATCTCTTCTTGCAGTGGAGTCGGGACCCTTGGTGCCAGCAGCTCCTCTCCTGCAGCTGGAGAAGTGCTGCACCCGAGACAACAGCGCCACCCTGGCCTGGAGGGTAACTGCACCCCCCAGCAACCCCATTGAGGGCTACGTCCTGGAGCTGGATGACGGCAACGGAGGACAGTACAGGGTAGGTACTAGTGGTGGGCGATACTGCAAGCTTTGGTGTCGATCCGATACCAGGTAAATACTGGACCAGTATCGCCGATATCGATATCGGTATCAATACCGGTACTTTTTGACAATTAATGCATTACCAAATATAAATACATTTTCATGACTTTCAGGTGTTTTGTGTTTTGTTTTAAATTGTATTATTAATTTAATAAAACCCAGACAAAGTTCAACAGTAAATAGAAAGAACTTTATTAACATCAAACAAGTTTTTGTTCAATAACAAAAGAACAGACTTTTTGTCTTCCACAAAGTGCACAAAGTTATCTGTCGAAAATATTAAAACTTCTTTCGTAGAATACTCCTAAATAAACAAAGTCAACAAAACAGTTACTCCAAAACAAATCTTATAAAACAAAGAACAAATTCTCTTTTTTCAAGTATAATACAAAAATAAAATAAAACAAAATGTCTTCCCTACATTGCACATATTTTCTGGCTTTGAAAAGGTAATTTAAACAAACAGTTGGTAAAAAATAAACAATAAATAATAATACTACAATAAATTAAGTATAAAAATAAACCAGACTGAAAATGAGGAATAAGTACTAGGGTCACTTCTTCAGTGCATAAGGTCAGGGCTCGTGTTTGTGTCAAGCTAAGAAATAGCGTACACCATCATGGGGACACTAGGGAGCCAGCAGAGCACTAGCTGCACAGATATACCATTAGTGAGAGGCTCCCAAGTTGGACATTTTTGCATTAATGGACTGAACCCATTCAGAGCTTTTAATCAGAGAAGAGTTTTCAGATGCAACCTCATCTACTTCTGACATGCATGGAGAAAGGAACACGCCAAAGCGCTTTACAATTTACCTCACGTTCACACATCATTCACCCATCGGGAGCCATTTAGGTTTTAGGGTTTTGGTCAAGGACACTCGACTTGTGGACAGATTAAAAAACAAAAAAGCTGAGGGGGTTGTTGCCCTGTTTCTACTGAGACGAAAGAGATTTGTTTGGGACAGGTCAATTGAATCTTAGACAAAAAGAACCTATTTACATTTGAATACAAATATTCAGCACTATAATAATATTAATAATAATGCATTAACTGTTTATTTAAAGGTAGTTTTAGCTGCGTTTATTTCTTTCATAATAAATCTAAACTGCTACTGAACATAAAGCTGTTAATTCTTCATAATACAGCAGAAATGAATCCTGTGATAGACAAAGCTTGCTTGTATACAAAGATTTCTGTGACACACGTAAAAATATTTTTGTTTTACTGCCATCCAGTCCTACTGTATATCCTTTCTGCTCAGACCCTTTTAAACGCACATCTGCCTAACGTTTGTCCGTCTTAATATATCATTACATACATGCTTTCTTTTCTGCCAGCATCAGCAGCCTCATAAACACACAATGTCCACATTTTTCTTCTTTTATATCCTTTCTTTTATTTCTTTTTTGTATGGACCTTGAGTCTGCTAATAAAGGATGATGATGATGATGATGTAGCGTCTTTTAATTTTGTTATTAATAACCCATGTGCTGCTTAACTGACTAAAGCCAGATGGTAGTTTGTTTGAGTGTTATGTGTATAGTTAAATATGAGTTTACATGAAGCATACATGTACATGGCCTTAATTACATTTGTACTGATGCACCATCTTTGTGTGTGTGCCCTCAGGAGGTATATGTAGGGAAGGAGACGGTGTGCACGGTGGATGGCCTCCATTTTAACAGCTCCTACAATGCCAGGGTGAAAGCCTACAATACCATTGGTGTGGGTCCATACAGCAAGACTGTCATGCTCAAGACCTCTGATGGTAGGTGGTGGTATGTAGCGTCCGATCCAAGGATTGTCTGGATTGTTATTTATTTATTTAATTATTGCTTGTTTTGTTTGTGATGAACAAGTTTTGTCGGTTTAGGTGAATTGCGTGAGTCTGAATGCTGGTACAGACTTAGAGATTATCTCTCAATAATAACAAAACTGAGGAATTAGCAAGTGAATGCGGCCTCATGACTGATTGTTTCTACAGTGGCCTGGTTCACCTTTGACCCCAGTTCAGCTCATCAGGACATTGCTTTGTCCAATGAAAACCAGACAGTCACCTGTAACAGCTACGATGACCGTGTGGTGCTGGGAACTGCTGCTTTCTCTAAGGTAAACATGTATTAAAATGAAGTTTTGCTTCACATGTATTATATATTTAATTGATTTGAAAACTGTTTAAAACCTAGTGTGTTTTTGTCCTTTTATGAGTGTGTTAATTCTGTTTCTTCTTGAATTTCAGGGCATCCACTACTGGGAGGTCAGCATTGATCGTTATGACAACCACCCAGACCCTGCTTTTGGCGTGGCAAGGATCAACACCATGAAAGACATGATGCTGGGGAAAGATGACAAGGCCTGGGCCATGTATGTGGACAACAACCGCTCCTGGTTCATGCACAACAACTCCCACACCAACAGGTAGGAGCTCATGGTTTGTTCCATTTAGCAGAGAACTCACGGTCACGCCTGAGTTAACCGCGTTCCAGTTTTAGTTAAGCATAATAGCAGTTTGAGCCAGGTTAGCAATGCCAGTTTTTAACGTGTTATGTGGTGTTTTGTGCACACAGACACTATAGCAACATGTCCGCAGATAGAAGTTGGACACTACTGTGTGTGAGACTGTTTCAATGAGACACAAGTAAGATATAAGTGCTAATAAACAGCATATTTCTATAGCTTTTTATTGCTCAGTTAAGTTAAGTTAAGCCTTCCCTTTGTTTTATTGTTTATATTTTGATTATTGACTGTTGAGACAAACAGCTCATCAGGGTTGGCCCCTGAAAATAAAACTTTTCGAGGAATTTTAAAGACTAGAATACTGCATAAAGCCAGTCTCCCTGTTTAATTTGTTCCACTCTATTGTCTATTATATCAGTCAGCTTTATTCATATTCCTGTATCTTGTCCTGACTGACAAATCACTTCAACTATTAGCTGATCATTTATTCAAGAAATGAAATGTTTGTTTTGTTTTATTTTAATTAGCCACTTGGGTATATCCTACAGTTTCATTATCGTCCTTGCTTTCTCTATCTGTGTGTGTGTGTGTGTGTGTGTAGGGCAGAAGGAGGCATCACTAAGGGTTCGACTGTGGGCGTCCTGCTGGATCTGAACAAACATACTCTGACTTTTTACATCAACAAGAAGCAGCATGGGCCGACTGCCTTTGAGAATCTGGATGGTGTCTTCGTGCCCGCTGTCAGCCTGAATAGAAATGTACAGGTCAGTGTGTGTGTGTGTGTGTGTACTCACATGCCACACATCTCAAGTACTGATGCACCAATGCATTTAGCACATACTGCATAAGATGTAAAAAGGAATGTGTCCTTGAATCTGTTCCACTTCATTTGTATTGATATAGGTTTGTGTTTCCCAGACCTGGCTGGGCTTTTGTCCTCAGCCTCACTTGGTGATGGTCTCATCGAGTGTTTGTCTGTTTCAGGTGACCTTACTCACAGGTCTGGAGGTGCCAAAGAATATCAAACAGTAGGAGCTCCTTCCTTGCTCTGAACATGCTCTGGATTCATATGCAGCCTCAGTCCACTCCCACATGGACCTTTTCCAAGATGGGATGTACCCTCTCCCATCCTCCTCAAGGTGCCCTTTGTCTTGGATGCTCTTCTGTGCAACCTGATTATTTGGGATGAAGGAACAAATCTGAGTTATTATTAGCTTTGAATTCAATGATTAACATTTGTGGGTGTCACTACAGAGATAACTGGAGTTACTGTGAATTGCCATACTTGTTTTCATATCCTGTTTTTTGCACTGTGAGCTTGAGGATTTAAACATTTTCTTTATTTCATTTCATTATTCCATCTTGTGCCATTCATCCAGTCATTTTAACAAGAAGGCTAACATTTCTCCTCAGAGCCTGAGACCAAACTAACCGACCCTCTCAGTCCAACAGTAAGTACACCTGCACTGTGCCGTAAATTCATTTTGTGATGAAAGTAATGAAGGATGATTGTGAGATATACAATTAGAAAATTACACCACAATTTAAAAAAAATGGCAACCAGGTGCTTTCAGGGGAAGGAAAAACAGGAGAGAAATGACTGAGCAGCAGACAGTTGCTCTGCTTCTCTCTGGTGTGTTCACAGCTTTCAAGCTAAACTATATGAAGGGAATGTTTTGTAGGTTGTTTCACTCATGAAATATCTAAAATCTAACTTTTCATTGCACACTTTTATCCCAGTTGTAGCTCCATCACTGCCATATGTTTTCACTTTTTGGTTGTCAGTGTAATAGAGACATTATTTCTTATCTGTGGGTGGGAATCTGACAGTCATCTTAAAGTGACCCAGCTCCCCTGATGAGCAACTCTGTCATACAAAGAGGCATTAAGACTGCTGAGTGCTGTTGCCAGAGGTTTACACACTGAGGTGAAGCTGGGAAGGCTGAGGTCTGATTCCCATTCAGTAAGAGATCTTTAAACTTGCAATCTAAAGCAGTACATCCATTTGTTTATATATCAGCAGCATGTTTTATCATAGATTTTTAAGAATGAAGGAAGTTGGTCATGCTTGAGTTTCTATTAGACACTACATGTTTGTCTGCCTTGATTGGTAGGATAGAAAGGAAGACCTAGCAGACACGAGATGATGAGAGTTGGTAGCTTGATGCTTTATTGTCATCTAAAGTGGTTTGCTTTCTTGCTTTCCTACTCTGTGCTCATCTCTCAGTTTCTCTGTAGAGTTTCAGACGCCTTTAATCTACTGTACTGAAAATTATCTTCAGAAGTCACATCAGGTAAAGCTACATTTGCTGCTACATTTCTCATCAGGGACTAGATACGGCAGCCTGTAGAGGACAGTAGCTTCAAATTTCAACCAGAGCACTGTGACGAAGGATGTAAGATGTTTGAACATACATTACCCATTTATATTTTAACACCTAATGCAGCAGAAAAATTAGAAGATAATTTTTTTTGTTGAAATTATTTAATTCTGTATTTTTTTAAAATTTTGGAATCTAGACTTAGGGGGTGTGTGTGTGAGAAGAAGAGTGATTAGAAGTATAGACAGAAATAAAAAGGTCATGTGTGAATGGAAATTCACAAACTGTAAATACTGATATGTGAGTTGTGATATTAAGCATCAATCAAGTTTACAATATATCTGATTGGCTTTGTAAATATTGTACTGTATTGTTGTCTTTGCAGTGAGTGACGTTAATGCTGCGGTGGCAGCTCGCCCCCTGCTGTTCAATGATGGCAACAACATGGTTCATGAATTTATAAACTAATCCTGTTCTTGCATATTAGCCAACTGTTTTCGTACCTTTAATCACTGACTTTTTTTTAAGGTCAGCAAACATTTTGTCTGACAGGATGCCATCTCTTTTTATGAATTTTAGCATGATATTCAAGCCTTTAATCAGGGACATTAAAATAGCACCCATTTGCGATTCAGTTTCTTGAGCTACAGTACAACAGTAAGCTACTATGTCTTACTGGAGTTATGGAGGTCCATTTTGAACACAACACCTACAGTATTTTAAAATAATTTTGTTATGAGTAGAGCAGTAAAATTAGAGTAGTAAACTAGGGAAATATCTTTAATTTTTGGATTTCTTTATACCAATTCCAGTGTATTCTGTTTAACAAATTAAGAAATTGAATTCTTTATTTATGAAGCAAAGCTGTTACCTAAAATGTTTAATCCATGACATTTACACCCTAAATGAGCAAACAGCAGATGTATTATACTACCATGAATATATGTATCAAGTCCTAACTGGCTTACCTGTTTTTTGCACCTGGTGCTGCATTCAAATTCAGTGGGAAAGACAAATTTAAAGCAGCCATATTCATTTTTAGTACCTGTCCAGCTCCAATCAACCAGCCGGTGAACCCAGTGGACTTAACAAGACTCCAGATAAATGCTAATGTTACATGATCTATAAATGACAACTGTTTACTGTCAAATTTGCCACATTTATTTTAAAGATGTCAGTGTTGTGTTCATAGCTTTGCTTTGCTGTCCCAGAAATGGCAAAAAAAAAACAGGATACCACAGCTTTCCTTGCATTGCTTATCAATCAAGGCAATAAAAAAAAACTTTCAACTGACATGCAGCTTCCAACAACAAGCCCACATTTGCCACTTTTCTCATTTGACTTGAAATCAGCATTAGTGTAAAAGTCGGGTTTCTCTAGATCCAGAAACCAAACCTCTATCTACCAAAGGGGATATTTTTTCCTGATGTGCCCCAGACTGCCAGCTACCACCTAAGGGCTACATTCATGACACATGAGGCTTTCTGTCTGACCCACCTCCTTTACCAGAGGAGAGGCCTGCCACAAGGTTGAATTTGCTGTACCCAGGAATAGATGTCAGGTCCACAAGCAAAATGAGACATCTATCATGTGACCAGGGGAACCATTTTTTTCTTCTTAAAGTCTGGATGACTTGAGGTTACATGTCTGTAGGCTGTGTTGATGAGGACCTGTTGACTGGAGGGAATAAAAGCAAACACTATGGTGCTCAGATTCATAGTTGCATACATTTAGGAACCCTTTTTCTTTCTAAAAAACAGCTTTAAGTGGTAGACAAAACTCACAGACTTAAGATAACTCACATTGTAGTCACTCCTGTCTAGATGTAGTGTTGTATGGCATGTCTGTTTATGGCCCAGTTACCCACCCATGAATGTGACATTTTATTTAGTGATTTAACTTCAAGCTATGGTGCTGGGATGAAAGCATGTCACTGCTGTGAGATATTTAACCTATAAAACAGCAGAGGAAAAAATCTTAAATGACAAACCCTATAAAGCCTGTAAATATATTCATATATTTATTTTCTTTTATATATTGCCCTCTTCAGTTTATTCAGTGTTTCAGTTGAATGAGTGTGGATTATAAAAAGGCTTGCCGAATACAAAACCTTGTGTGCTTACAGCTTGAAACGTGATGTGATGCAGATAGGTTTCCTGATGTTCTTTTTTAAAAGCTGCTTCAAGGAAACCGTGTGAGACTTTGTGAGCTCAGCCAGCCGCAGACTGCCAGATCACAGGTCTCGTGTCATCACCATCCATCAACAATGCTACACCCATTAACAAACTGGAAAGAACTGGTTTCTGGAAATGTTTACATTCAGAACTTCGTAAGATTTCAAAGAAGTCATGTAAACGTGGGTTCATAAGGGAGAAGCATTGCACTTGCAAGACCATCCTGCTTTCTCATGGTTCCCAGTGTTCATATGCATTTGTCTTTACGAAAACTTCTGCCAGGACTTGTGTGTTTATTGCTTTCTTGAAAATACGTACCCCCACTGGTCTTGTTATAATCCTGCCCCTTCTGCCAATGTAAATGTTTTGTACGACTACATGGTTTGTACATGAGAAATGCATTGTAACTGCATATTTTACAGCCTTTACAGTGCAAATCAAAAGAGCACAAATGTCTTTTTTTGGGTTATTTATAACAACAAAATAAATTAACTGTGAT